GCCGATCCCTCACCTTGCACGGCCCGCAGCTCCGAGTCCAGGCGACTCAGGAAGTCTTGCATCAGGCGTCGGCAGCGGTCCATCATGCCCTGGTCCAGCTGCATTGCCACAACATCCACCCCGCTGACACTGAAATTCTGACTCTCAATCCTAGGGCACAGGCAGTCATTTCACCAGGGAAAACCATTTAGCATTAGAAAGTTGACAGACTCCCTTGTTAGGAAGGGCTCTACAAAGACGGGGGTGCTTTGGTAACATGAAGTTCGTTTTGGTAACACAAGGTAAACAGCTCTCTGATAAAGTTGAGTTGCAATCGTTATATGCTGTTATTTATCTGGCAATGCCTTTTGCTTATCAAACCCGGATTGGAACTTCCAAATGCTGAAAATGAGAAAGGAAGAGGCATTTTGCTAATCCCCTTGTGTGAATAGTGCTTTGACCTGCTGAAGGGAGGTTCTTACTGTTTTAGCACAACCACCATCGTGACAGAAAGAAAATGCCAAACATATTAAATGGCATCCAGGCTTCTGGAAAATTACTTTGATCCCACAAAGTACTCAGTGTGTGAGTAATGGACTGTGCTGCTGCCAGCGCAGCCCCTAGGCACCCAGGGATTCAAAGTTATCCTTACAATCCAAGCTCAGCCTTAGCTTTAATTTGTACAAGTTAGAGACGACATCTTAAAATCCAGCTAGACTTTTGAGCTAGCCCTTCTTGCAGCTGGGGAGTTTTATGCTGCAGCAAAATCTCTTGTGGATCTGGAACTTACTGTTGGTGTGGTTTTGCACCGTTCAATTATGACTGACACACAGGGGTGAATTAGGAAGTGATAAATTATAAATTAAATGTATCACTTGCAAGAGAAAGGATAATAAACCTGTACAGCTACCAGGCTTGTACACAAGCAGAAACAAAAATTGGTGGGAAATGAGCCAGTTACCTCTGCAGCCAAAGCCTGTTCACTGGGACTCACGTGCAGGAGTGGCACCAATACACATCCAAGAGAGTACTGCTGTAAACTGAACCCTATGGGCTTCATCCTTGACACAAGCATTTTTCTGGTAATAAAAGCCAGTGGTTTTCATCAGAATCCAACTAAGGAAACTGAAACTTGAAGGGACCACTGGAATAGCAAGCAAATCTCCATCCTCATTAACTGTGTGGATGTGGTGCCCTGACTCGGCTGGAATGGGGAGCAGCTTTGCAGGGTAGGGTGCCAGGACAGAGGGACATAGTGGGGTTCGATCCCAGTTGGTAACACTGTATTTTATCAAAGAAGGAATCAAATGTTTTAGGTGCAACATACCTGTCCTTGGTCGGTTTGAATTCCTACAAATAAGATTGACAGAGAAAAAAGGAAAACATTTTAAGTGTGATTTCCAGAATGGGGAGCTGGCTGAGAAATAGGCATATTCACAAAGAAAAGCAGAATAGTGCTGCTTACTTTGAAGAAGAGGAACATATCTGGCTGCTCCTTCATCTTCTGCAAAGTCTGAAGATGCTGCACAGCCTCATCTCTACTTTGTTCCATTTTCTTCTTCATTTTGGTAATATCTTCCAGTTGTTTTTTCTCAATGGATTGAATGTCATTCAGGTTCTTCCTGTGTTTCTGAATCATCTCTGTCTTCATCTCTTCAAACAGATTTTGGAGCTGGGAAGTCACTGTTTTCATATTGGTCTAAATGAACAGAGAACAAAACAGTGCACTGGCTCAGGAACTCAACACTTCAGCTTAGTGTCTCTTTTATCAATTAGGACTATATCTACTCTTTGCAGTGGTTTTAGAAGGAAGTGGACAATAAGAATTTGCTTAGAATATCTCATTAAACAGAAGCTTATGAAAATTAACCCTGATATGGTAACAAAATCAGAAAAAATGCAGCTAGCAATATGAGAACTGTAATGGTACACATTGAAAATCCCACTGGTAGACTCAAATTGGTTTTCTTTATCAGATAAAAAGCTTTAAAAATACAGAATGATGCGCACAATCTGTCGTCTGCCAGTCCTGCAACCTGGTCTGTGCAACCACAATAAATAAAGGAGTTTCCCAGCTGGTCGTGGAACTGCGCTGGGAGGCTGTGAGACAGCGTGGCTTCTGGAAGTTTCTTACACCAATGTTTTCACTATTTTAGGCTGGATCTCTTTCTATTCATCTGTGTCTAACAGTACGGTTGCCATCACTTATTGCTGGGAAATTGTGGAGGAGAGATGCTCTGAATTAGCAATGATCCGGATCCCAACCTTGAGCTGCTCCTCACTTCTCTGAAGTCCTCCCAGGGCAGTAGCTAAAGCGTTTTCACGCTCCTGCAGCCATGTCACCTTGTCCGAGAGTTCACCCTAGCAGAGGGAAACACAGTATTTGAATTTCACAGCAGGAAAGCAGCACAGGTAGTTTTAAACCAGACTGGCAGTCTGTGGAGCTGGTGAAATGGCACGGGCGCCTTCTACCTGCCTCCTTTCACCAGGGAGTCCTATAATAAACTGTGTTCACTTACCTCCTCATAGAGATAGGGCTTACCAAAAACAATATGATCTGGAAATCTTTCAAGTTAATGTTTAACTTTTGCATATGTGTGACTTTGTATGTGGTCAGTTAATAAACGGCTTTCCCTTTGAATAAATAAATTTCACTTTAAATGAATAAATCTCAGTTTATCCACTAAAGCTCTGTTCCTGCTGGAATCTTATGTGTCTAATGTGATACGAATCCATAGTTTTCAGATCTATCAGTAGCTGTAGGATCTGAGGGTAACGTAATAAGCAACCATCTTTCCTGGAGATCAGCACAACAGTGATACTTACCCTGCTGTTTATTTTAACAGATATCAAGATCATTGAGTGCTTTTATACTGCACAATAACACATTTCACATAGGACATTAAACCTCATTCTTTGGGGATTAGACAGTCTCTGAATGGCTCTGGTTGCTCCTGGCTGCCTCCAGCAGTGTTTTCACACCTTGAGCACCCATGAATGACCATGGCAGACACAGCTGCCAGATTCCCACTTCTTTAATAAAAATGAAGCCAGAAAGCTTAGGTTTTCCATGAGGTATTTGTCACAGCTGGGGAGTTTTACTTTTTGAAAAATTAAAAGAAAAATAGTCAAATTTGCTTAATGTTCCTTGCACCAAAACCCTTTTATAATTCCTCCTGAAGAGCTGGGTTGCTGATTTCTCTGGCTATCCTGGGGAGTTTAAAAACATAAACAAGCAAACAACAACAAAAAAAAGTCTCCAACAAAACAAGAGGAATATGCAGCAGACATCTCAGCTTACCCATAGTAGATGGCTTCCCCATAGACAGGGTTGTGTTAAGCAAATGGTTGCTACCCTACACTGCCCACTTCTGTTTAGCAGCCCTGAACATTATATATGTCACTTGGAGGAGAAAGTTAGTTTGTGACGCATGTAACTGCAAAGGATGCTTCCCACTAATGCCAAAGGAGGCTGTGACCACAGTGAGCTGGGAGTTTCCTGCAGGGTGTTTTGTGTGGGCTCTGAATTGAGCCCAGAAATTTCAAATGCAAGGCAGTGAGTGGCACAGCAAACGCGTTTTATCCCCTTAGTCTCAGCTGATCCTGGAGTATTTTCAGGACAGCAGCTGGACTCAAAGGCAAGGACATTGATGGCCCACATCTCTGTGCCCGCTGGGACACTGGCTGGGCACAGGGAGGAGGGAGCCAGAGGGAAGGGCTACTTGTTTCCCACCCAAAGTTCAGCAGCGGTGGGATCCCAAGGCTCTGTGGTGGAAGGAAATTCTTAATCCCTGCAGGAATACTCCCACATGCCCGGCAGGAGTACAGTCGTCAGCGGCAGGGCGCGGCTGCCTGGGGCTGCACAGGACGGGTGGTGGCGCGGGGCAGCAGCGGAGCCCCGCGCTCACCGTCCCGCACGCACGGCCAGGGCCACACACGGCAGGAGTTACCCACCCTGTCCCGCTCAGCCCTGGACGCCTTTCTCTGCTCTCCTCCCTCCGCTTAGCCTGCCAGGCTGCTTCCGCCACACAAGCGAGGAGATTAGAGACAAATTTCAGTGCAACCAGCGCAGCAGTCCCCACTGGGGTGGGCACGCAATCCCACGAGCTGCTGCCTGCCCGCCCTTGCCCCGCCGACACCACTGCCCGGTGAAAGCCTCACTGCCCCTCCTGCGGCGTCCCCCTCCCTCTGGGCCAGGAGCTCGGAGCTGTGGGGAGAGGAGAGCCCCTTACCAGCTGGTTTTCGTGTGCCTCCTTCAGGGTGATGATGCTGTGACCCTTGTGGCGTCCCGCAATAGAGCAGAGCACGCAGATGTAGAGCCCCTCGTCCTGGCAGTAGCACTCCAGCAGCTTGCCGTGCTCCTGGCACTTTCTCTCCACCACCACACCACCCGCGCCCACCTCCACCAGGACGTGGTCCTGCTGGGAAGCCTTGGCGTTGTGTTTGTGCAGGTGGGCCGGGCACAAAGACGCGTCGCAGATCAGGCAGGTTTTCACTGCTGGCTGAGATGGATGCAGGCAGAAGTCACAGGGAACCACCTCCTTCTTCTCCTTTGCAGTGCCCTCATCCTGCTGTCCTTTGGAAGCCGTGGCCATAAAAGCCTCCACAATGCTGCACAGCTGAAAATTCTTCTGCAGCTCCAGGATAGGCCCCAGCTGGAGCTTGCACACAGGGCAGGAGTAAGGGGCCTTGGATTGCTGCTGGACACTGAGCGCCTTCTGGACGCACTCCTTGCAGAAGCTGTGACCGCAGCTCAGCGACACCGGGTTCCTGTACAGACACAGGCAGATGGGGCAGCTGAGTTCGTCCTCCAGGCTGGTGCCTCCAGATTCTTCCCTAGCTTCTGCCATGGCTGAAAAAATGGCGTGTCAGCCACAGCCAGTCCGCAAGAAATGAAACTAAACACATCCTTGGCATTGCGCCCAGCTGGAGACCCAGCCCAGAGGCTGAGTCCTTCCTCTCTGCCCCGTGACAGGCTGGGAGAGGATTTCCCCACCCTGCCCGGAAGCTGCTCGTGAGCTGTGGCAGCCCAGCCACTTTTAGACGTTTACCCTCCATTGCTGTGTGGCCTCAGGCAGCATTGGTCCATGTGTGAGCCCTTAACAGGCTGGTGGGAACAGGGGGTGCCGGGGAGGGCATGGGCTGGACAGTTTTCCTACAGCCTTCTGCCCTCCTAGAAAAATCCTCCATCCCGTGCCATGGGTATCGAATTAAAGATAAACCCTGGAAGAGAAGGGTATGAGCCTGGCAGAAGTAAGCCAGGAATTCCCTCTTCTCTGGTTCTTTTCCACAACAGTTACAGATGGTCCCCTAAAGGCAAAATAAGGAGAATCCATGAGAAAGTTTTACTGGGACTTGTTGAGACTGATCTCCTACCTGCAGCCAGCTGACAGGGAAACAGGGGCCCATGAAGGCTCTCAGAAAGCCACACTAGGATAGGAATATCCTTGTACTGTGTCACAAGCCTGGTTTACCTCGCTCTGCACCCATACCACCCAAGACAAGGCAGAGCAGCAGCCACTGCAGGTGCATCTGGGAGACCCAACTCTACCTGCATGGTTTTCTGTATCATTCCTGTGTATAAAATGCAAAAGATAAAACACAGCCACTTTCCTCCAAGACTGAACAAGGATTTTTTTTTTTTTTTTTTTAGCATATGTAAAACTGTTGTGTCCTTCAAGGTCCATCACTGTCACTGCTGGGGCAGAGAGCTCTTGGCTGGACCTTTTCATGCAAATACCCCGGCTCTGTCTGAAAGCAGAACAAGCAGCAGGCAGGGATATCATCTCTCCAAGTTTTCTGGATGGTCATAAGAACAAAACGGTCCAGGTCCTATATAGCACGGACCAAAGGCACAGGACTTTTCCTCTTCAGCACTCCCTTTACTGTGATTTTTTTTTTTCAGACATGAGAAAATAAAATTGAGGGAAGAAGTAGGTATGTGAGCTCATTAGAGCTCACAGGGGACAACTGCAGCCAAGGGCAAAGGAAAGAAGGGGTCTTACTACCTAGTCTCTACTCACCTTCCAAGGCCAGCTTTTTCCAAGGCCACAGAGCTAAAAGCTGATGTGTTAGAACAAAGATCAGCATAGCTGCTGCTTAGTTATGTAGCAGTTAATGTTGTGTTGTCAACTTTTTATAAACTAAATTGCCACTGAGTTTTGCAAACTAAAGTACTTTAATAACATGCAGCCAACACAGTACTCAATACAGCCAAGCAAAAAAACCATAACTTAACAGTATCTCCATTGTAATTAACAGAACAAATAAGATAGGAACTCTTGCAGTAAGTGGCAAGTGTGCTGTGATATACCCCAGAGACCTTGTCCTCACATGGATGAGCGGGCACAGCACCCCAAAATCCAATTTCTAATATGCCAGCTTAGCACAGCCTCCATGCAGCAGCAGTCCCAATACCAGGCCTGGAAAAACAAAACTGCACCGTGTCCCCACATCACTACAGGAGCTTCAAAGAGCCACTGGACACACCAAAGGAAGCATGGACACTATAGACTGAAGGAATTCTTACTATTTCTATAAGCCTGAGGCTCCCCGAAGAATCTTTATCCTTGACAGACCTGTTATAAAATGTCAGTGTATTTCTTTCACAGTGTAGCTCTACCCCAACCACTTTGACGTTTGTATGAAAGTGCTTTTCTGTGATCATTCTTGAACCTAGGAACACCCGGAGGGAATCATCTAACTTTTCTAGGTAGCAGTGAAAGCTGGCCTGAGCAATTCCAAGCTTCCAGCACTTTGCATTGCTGGTGTCCACCTCCCAGAAGTGACAGCCCTCCTGGAAGCTCTGGTCACTGCACACAGGTGGGACATCTTTGTGTATATTTAGTCCCATGAATCCAAGATCACTGTAGGAGGATGGAGTGACTATGGTACCACTGGAATAATATCCATAACCTTGACTCACTCTAATAGTCAGATGTTCATAAACTATAGAAAGAAAAAAACACACATTATGAAAACAGGCAATTGCACAGATTTGCATACATTCCCATTGCTGAAAGCTGAATTTCCCAATCCAAGTCACCCAAGTCAACCCAAGTTATCCTATTCGAGTCATCCAATCCAAGTCCAACACACCTGAGTCATTAAAAGCATATGTTAACTAAAACACTTTCTGTACTTCTCTTAGCTATTCTTGTGTAATTTTAAAGGGGGATAGCACATTTCAAGAAATGCTACTCTAACAATTTTAAAGCATCTTTTTGCTCTTTGTTTCCAAGTACAGCAACTCTTAGATTAGTTTTCCATCGTTGTCCTGCAGAGCTTCATTAGGCATTTTTTAAAACTTTCCAGATTAACTTCCATGTACAAGAAATGTGTGAAGAGCAGCACAGCCATTTTTTAAACACTTATTTGCTTAGGACCATTTGAAGTTCTCTAAAACTCTCAAAACTTCTTGGCCTGGCCAGCGGTGAGAAGTTAATTCTACACTCAAGAATTTGCAGAATATTTTTATTCAGACATTCTCTTGCATGTAATGCATTTCATATAGTGGCATTTTCCACTCTGAAAGTTACTCCTTCAGAAAACTGAAACAGCAGCAGTGATTTGGGTAACTAATAAAAATTGTTCAGATGGTATAACAATTAGGAAAACCTGGATCTGAGGCTTTCTAGCCACAACAGGTCTGGGCTATGCTTACGGGGACGGTAGAGACTGAGCTCAGAAGAGGCTGTGAGCAAGGTGTGCTTCTCAGCGTACCCACGGCCGCATGGATGGCAGCCAGTTAGGTGTACACTTTGCACGCTGTTGCACATGCTCTGGACAGAGCCTTCCCACCCCAGCAATCTCTCTTGACCCTAAGCTCACCGTCAGCAAGGGCTCAAGCACCCTAATTTTTTTGATTCTGTTGGACAAGCATCCCACCATACACAGCACCAGGACTGTAGATTGATCTTACAAAACATTACAGAAGTGTAGAATTATTTACATAGCAAGTAGATAATTTACATTGTAATACAAACTCCACCTGCCACTGCTGTGATGAGTTATCAACTTTCCCTGTGCTTTGAATCAAAGTGATCCTACAAACAGAAGTTGTGTTCCTATTCTCTTCTCTTAATCCTCCCAGAAAACTCCTAGGACACCCACACCTCTTTACCCAAATTCCATTTTAATGGGGTATATTCAAGGCATGTCCCAAAGTGCTGAAGCCCAGGACAAGTACCCTTTTATGTACGCTTCTGTGAAAACAATCACACAAAGTTAGGAATCAGTTCTTGTAGAGGTGCTTGGTGTCTTATTACAGTCGTTTCTTAATATGTTTTGTTAGCTTCTCTATCTTGCTTGTCATCTAGTAAAATGACCACTTACCAGGTGATTGTTTAAATAAGGACTGCATGTCTGAGAGGAACTGCTCAAAAAGCCTTAGAGTAAGGTGTGTTTTTGATTCATCCAAAATAATGGGTGGCTTTGGCAGTATTACACCATCTTTGTTAGGAACTGGGTTGTGTTTCCTAAAACATGCAGAAAGATATCAGAAGAGCAGCAAGTCACCAAAAAAACATCACCGAGCCCATACCTGAGTCAACTGCATCCTCCACTCCACAGCCAGCCTTGATGGGAGACACAGAAGACAGCTTGTATCCTCCCATCCCTCTGCAGCTCTACAAGGGACCCTCTCTCTGACCAGGCTTTTCATAGAACACCAAATCTCTTCAACATCATTAAAGTGAAGTTCACTCCACAGATTGTATCTGTCTCCAGAGCACCTTGTCTTGGCCACCTCAGCCCCAGCTTTTGCCAGGACAGATCCTAGCATCCTGTTTGTGGCTCCAGTCCTCAAGTCCCCACGGCAGGAGGTAGAGAGGTGTCAGGGGCAGCTGCTGGGATCTTGGGACAGCAAACGAAGGGCTGTGTCATCACAGCCAAGGGGCAACTGCTGCACCTGAAAAGCACGGCTGGGGGAGCCTGTGTGCACACAGCGGTGGGCGGTGGTGGAGGAATAGGACTGGGCAGGCACTGGGGGAACAGCTTGGGTGAAAAGCTGTGAACATCACAGACTTAACAACTTTACTGCACGTTTCAGCTCCTGCCGCATTTTGCTTCTTAGAAGCAGAAGGCAATGCAAACTGGAGAACAGCTCAGGATATGTAAGCATCCTTTGCATGCTCACCCACAGAGCTGAATTTTCAGGAATTGCCTCAGAGTGGATCTTGAGAACAGGTGTGGAGGATACAGAAAAAGCGTGACTTCTGTTCATATTTTAGGGCTTCTCCAGGTCTCTGATGAAGTCAGGGTCACAGCATGCCCAGGGGGCTGCCAGGATGAGCCCTGAGGTGTGTGCAGCCTGGACTAGCAGACCTGCACTGCCAGACTATCACTTGAAGCAACATGTAATGCAATAGTAGACCACCTCAAGAAGACCTTACCTGTCTTGAATAGCTGAAAACCCCTGTAAAAGATATTTTGAAGGTAGAATTAGCATATTGCAGGCATAGGCTAGCCCAAGAGCAGAGTAGCTCTGGGAAGGGAGATGCTGTTAGGTACCTTCATGAAAAGAAGTAGGTCTTTCTGATTTCTCAGAGCCTCCAGCTTCTGTACATCATGGCTGGCTGCATCCTTCTCCTTCTTCTGTTTCTGTATTTCTGCCTGAATCTTAGAAAGTTGTTGCTCCTTGCTGTGACTGAGAGCTTTCAGGACCTCTGTTTTGTTCTTATCTAGCTGCAGACACATCTCTTTGACGAGGCTCTTCATTTGATTCCTCTGCAGGCTCTCCTTAGTCTATTAAGAAAAGATTTTCAAATATGTTAGGGACTGAATTTCACATTTTCCACACTAACTCTCACTCAGAAAAGAGTCTGGTCTTTTCTGGGCAGAGGGAAGTAACTAGTAATTTAGTGCCTCATTCCATATGATAACAGATCAAGTTGTCCCACCGACAGCAGAAAGACCAAGTGACATAAGTGGCCTTCCCCAGCACCTGACCAGAAAAAGAAAAACAAGTAATGCCTCTTCCACAATGCTTGCTGAAAACTTTCCACTAGGCATACATTTCCTTATTCTGCATTGGTACTTTTCTACAGATATACTGCCTTTGGTCCTTTTAAAGATTGGTGAGAAAAAGTTTCTCTGCTTACTGCCTCCACCAAGCTTCCTTCACCTGCTGAAAGCGGCAGCTATGCTGCCAGACAGGCCACTGCCAACAGGTACAGTTTGGTCCTCAGACCAGAAGTGAACATTTCCTTTACCCAGTGCCAAGACCTTTACTGGTGGAGGAAGACAAGTGCTAATTCTGCCTAAGCAGAGTGATCTAGGATCTGGAGACCTACATTAAAACCCCTGCTCTTTGAGAGATTTTACATAGGTGTTTGCATGCTGGGAGCAAAAACCAGACACTTTTAACCTCAGTCCTACCACCTTCTTGGAAACACAGGCCAACCTAAAGGGATTTCTTGCTGTAAAGAGGAATAAAATCACTATAACATGGTCTGTATCTTTTCCATAAATATTTCAGAGTCTGCAAATTGCATAAGGTTGGAGGGAGGGGGGGAAGCCAACAACCGCCACCCACCAATCAGGACGAATAGACTTAACAGCAACTTTCAAGCTCCAAGGTCCTTTAACAACTAAGCATGCACTTCACCCAGACTGGTGAGACAGTTGTTAATCATCCACCCTCAAAGAAGAAACCGAGAAATTATCTGAGAAAACATCCAGGAACTCAAAAAGACTTTGGAATCCACGATTTCAGGAAGGGCAAAAGAAAACCTCATCAGCTACCAACGTGCAACCATGCCCAAAGAGATATGGGAGCTTGAAACAAACCTTTACTTCCTCCTCTTGTTTCAGCAGGTTTGCTATGCTTTCATTCAGCGCAGTTTCATGCTTTTTCACCGTTTCCAGAGTTTCAGGAAAAATGCTCTATAAAAATAATCAGAGGGAGATATCAGGATAGGACTGACATACGTGCACAAGATCAGCAATTTCATAGAAATGGGTTAACCTAGACCTACAAAAAGTTTGTTTGCTGCATGTTCTCAGGACTAATCAATACATAAGAAGTTTACCAGCAGATTTAATTCCTGAACAAATACCACAATTACAACCATAGGAAAGACATTTTGAAACTGAAAACTGTTCATGTGCAATAAAGCGACTTCCAGTGCTGACAGCTTCCTTTCTGTTACGCTGTCATTAATTGTATTTGCATAAATGCAGCTCAGGCTGATCTTCTGGTGTGTTTGAAAGTGCACCCAGGACTAAAAGCATAGCCACAAGCACTCGATCCCACCAGTCTGGCTCCGCAGGATGGGAAAAAAAGTGTTTCTAACATCTTGTTTTATATCCCAAAGGGCACACCCAGAAGGAATCTGGGGTGAAACTAGGAATTAAAAGCTCAATATCCCAGGATGGAGATTTATCCCCAACCCGAGTGTGTGGATCTGAAACTCTGGAGAAGTTTCATCCCTGTGCCGAGGGTAGCTCTCGGTGGCACAGGCTCCTGTGGTTATCCTAGTGTAATCTGTGCCCGGGCCACTGTCCTGGCAGCCTCTTACCTGCATTTGGTCAAATGCCTCCTCCAAAGAGATGATCTTGTGCTCCCTGTGGGAACTGGTGACAGAGCACAGCACGCAGATGCAGACTGAGTCCGTCTCGCAGTAGCACTCCAGCAGTTTGCTGTGCTGGGGGCATCTCCTCTCAGCCAGAGCCCGATCGTCGCAGGGATCCATCAGGACATGGTCCTTCAGGGGGGTCTTTGTGCTGTGCTTGCTCAGGTGGGCTTGGCACAGGGAGGCCTCGCAGCTCAGGCAGGTCTTCACGGCCGGCTGCGGCTCCTGAAGGCAGAAATCACACAGGATCACTTCGCCCCGCTGGCCCGAACATCCCCCCTTCTCCTCGCACTGCT